CATCGCCTCCAAAGCTAAAAATATACCATACTTAATACACATACCATTATCACTAATTTAGATACAGAGATATCACCGAAAAAAATATCTTAATTCAGACGAAATAGCCTGGACAGTAACAACCCTGTTCAACAGTCCAAACAGGAAGTGAACACGATATGTCTCACCAACAACAGCAGTAGCACCCTCTATGTACTAGAGGTTCAGTTCCATTTAATTTACCCTTCACAGCCTTTATTCCTGCGATTTCCTTTTCGTTAAACATGAATAAAATCCTCTATCTGTTACAGATACCAATTAACACAGAGCATGGTTGCTTATGAGATCATTGCGTCCTCTTATATATATTATAACCATGTCCTGATAGTCCACATAATATTATCCCCAAATTCAAGGGTGTAACTTTGTGTTGAAAGTTGGTGGGGACGGCTCATAAGGAACGGGAGCTACCTGCGCAACGCCTTTTTTTTTTTTTTTGTTGGAAAGGATAAAGCCAAAAAAATGTGAATAACATTTATCAATTTAATGCTTACAGTTGAAAACATAACTGTTACAATATTCACTTATATATTTTGTGCAAAAAATATCACAGACAGTACAAATCAAAGAAATCAAATAAATATATCAATTTTGTAGAACATTTATTGACGGTCAATTTTAGGTCACTTTTTAAAATGAATTTACTTTTAAACCAGGACTCGGACAAGATCTTATGGGGCCTTAAGCAGAATATGATTAAGCAACTCCGTCTTTCTGTCAAGAACATCCACCAGCAGGGTATCCAGGGGGGGATTTACCATTAGGCAATACTAGGCAGTTGCCTAGGGCCCCAAGTTCCTGGGGGCCCCATAAAACTCTGTTTACATGTATAGTTAATACAACTAATCCTTATTTGTGCACATTAATTATGTTTTTGATAAAAATCCTTTGGCTAAAATGCCATCAGAACGCTGATAAATAGAGAGGAAAAAGGGACAAGAAGAGAGGGACAAAACCTAGAACAAATAATGGATGTCTATTCTATTAACATTTCTCTATCTGTAGAATGGGTCTGTTTTATGGGTTTACTTCTCAGGGGGCCCCCTGCCTGTCTTTGCCTGGGGCCCCAAATTTCCTAAATCCGCCCCTGAGGGTATCAATACTGATTTGATAGAATCTGGGAGAGCGGACTATGTTCAACCATCCATTTTCTTTAACCTTATCCCTCAGTGGGATCAGGAGGTGCTGGAGCATATCTCTAGCCACGTTCTGGGTGAGAGGTGGGATCACCCTGGACAGGTCACCAGTCTGTCGCAGTATGTTCAACCAGCTTAAAAGTAATCGGTAATCAGATTTATTATTTGCACTTTTACTAAGTGAACTTTCTAACTCCCTTAAATCTGAAATTCCAATGCCAAAATTGTTTAAATCTTTTATCTTTGGACCCCCTGCAGAGTGACGTCACACCTGCAAGATCCTATCCTTACCTCCCTGCTAGATTGCAAAAAGCAGCTTGCTCATGAGATGTCAACATAACACGCTAAATCTTAAATGTACGTGTACATATAAAAGAAAAAGGGGCGCAGTGCTTGCTACTGAATGGCAACACTATGACAAATATATAACAAGGTCAGGAAAAAGTTTTAAGTGAAGCCGGGATTAAAACAGTAGCTACAAGAAGCTTCAAATAAAAGGTGTTCTTTATGTTCAACCTAAACACCAACTCTGATAGACCATCAGTAGAGCAGGTGTTTAAATTAATCAATCACTGCTGCGAAAGCTTATAGCAGCGAAAGCTGTAATGGACTGAAAGTCCTGTTTTTTATGTGGGAAATTATTTGCGTATGTTTTAGTTTAATTCTGATATATTGGCGCTGTTGTCTGTTTCTATGGCAACGATACTGAATGTAGTGTAGCTTAGAGACCTGCACGGGTCGAGTTTTACCAACCCGCAACCGCCCGAACCCGTTAGGATGACTACCGAACCCGACCCGTCACCCGCGGATATCTTCAATTCAAATCCGAACCCGACCCGACGATATTTAACCCGCAACCCGACCCGTTAACCCATCATAGGCTATTGTACGCTGCGCTGCACACAGTGCCTGATTAATATAACATTTCTGATGTCCATAACAACACACACGCATAAGAAAAAATCACCAACTACCCGCCCGCACTAAAAAAATATCCGCCCGACCCGTTTATTATTTTTTTTATGTATTTTTCGCGGGTACCCCCCCGTTGCAGGACTCTAGTGTAGCTGACATAACAGGGCCGGAAAAAAGTGGTTTGAGTTTTTTTTTCCAACGGTTCAGTTATATTTTAAATACGGTATTAACTTATTTTTACACTATTCTCTATTCTTTTACTACTTTAAGTCTCTCCTGACTAAAATTAGGTCTTAATATTTCCACAAGTCCCTCTCACCTGCAAGTCTGAGTCCACTGCTGTCCCTGAATGGGTTAGCATTTTTGGAGGGAAGCGACAGGTGTTATGGAGAGAGGGCGGAGGGGGGTGATGGGGAGAAAGCGAGAGGCAACAGATTCTTTTTTCTGAGTTTTTTTGTCGGGGTTTATGGACGGTGAGCAGCGGGGAGAACTTTTTTTATTTTCTTTCTGAGGAGCGGCATGAATGGGGTTTTAATCAGATATACACAGCACCGAAAGCAAAATACGTGTACAAAATATTGGTGGGGACTGTCCCCCTACCGGTCAAGATTGGTGGGGACATGTCCACACCAGTCCTTAAGGAAGTTACGCCTATGCCCTAAGTCTTGCAAGCTGTGTGTTGGAAAGGGTAATCTGTTTTTTTTTTTTTTTTGTTCCTTTTGAATCTCTTTAGTTCTAACTTTTTATTGATAAAATGATAAAATGCTCACCATAACAGTCACTGATATTCTACTACTACTTGTAATGTGCTGAGTAGTTTTGTGACCTTCTGTGTATTCTAAGTCATTTAACTAGTCTTGAACTAGTTTTGTTAGGCTGGCCAATCTTTGGAAAATAAACCAGTGTTCCTTATTCCTAGGGGTAAGCATGGGTGTTGCTTTACAATACTGGGTGACTTGGGTCACCATACAATATTATCACTATATTGCAATATCACCATATATTGCAATATTTTTCCTGCTATCAAAATTGAATGTATAGATAAAAAAGCAACCTGTGTATATGTTCATCAGATGATATTGATCATTTAGTTATTTTGGTATCCATGTTGCTTGGGGTTTGAGTCAGTCCATGTCTTCCACTGTGACTGCCTCAACTACAGATATAGCACTGCACCGCACAGCTAAAGGGCTCCACAGCACTATCTGCCAGAGTAATGGTACAAAGGTAGCCAATTTTCCCTTAGTTTAAGGGAAAAATGTTTTGCTTTAAAAGAAATCGATATGAGGAACTAAAAGATTGATATATCAGCCACGATATCTTGCCAAAATGATTTCTTTCCACACCCCTACTTATTCCTAGCAGATCCACCAAGCCTTAAGGTCCTGTCTAACCATGCATAACCCAAATCTTAGAATCCATCCATCCATCCATCCATCCATCCATCCATCCATCCATCCATCCATCCATCCATCCATCCATCCATCCATCCATCCATCCATCCATCCATCCATCCATCCATCCATCCAGCCAGCCAGCCAGCCAGCCAGCCAGCCAGCCAGCCAGCCAGCCAGCCAGCCAGCCAGCCAGCCAGCCAGCCAGCCAGCCAGCCAGCCAGCCAGGCGGGGCACACTTCGGACAGGTCACCAGTCTGTTGCAGAACCTTAATAAACGTTATAGCAATTTAATTGGCAGTATTTGATAAATGAGATGCCAAACTTAACATAACAAAATTAACATGACATAAATAATTGCTTAAAAGAATATATATAAATAGTCTGATTGTGTTTGCAGTAAAAGACTTTCAACCCTTTCAATGGTTTCAGTTCAACTTTTTTACCAGCTTGTTGCAGATAAAAAAACACATGGTATGTTGATGTTGCAAATAAATAGTATTGCTTCTTAAATATACAACTAAAGTCTTGTCATTATTAGTGGAGAACAGTTTAATCCTAGACACAGTAGTTTACTGCGTAACCAGTTGTTCTTTTGCTCAATAAATACGTCTTTCAGAATAAAGGTGTATGAAATCTATTGATTATTTGATGGCTATGGCAGAGAGAGAAATGATTTAACAGGGAAAATCAAATCAGAACCTATTTAAAAAAGATATAATTACTAGAGAAGGTAAAGACAAAATCAACTGAAAACGCTAAGAAATATGCAACACCTGACAAAAATAAACAAACTCAACGAAAAAGTAACAATATGGCGGAGAGTAAAGAAACAAGTCCAAACTGTAATTTGACCTGTAGGACCTGACATACAGTATAGTCTACTTAACTGGTTAGATCAATGGGGGGAATTTAACAATAAAAATAATCCCATGTTCATTGATCATTTTACTAAGTGGAGCTATATACATAGTAAAAGGAACAGGCCCAAACACTAAACCCTGTGGCATTCAACAGGTAATCCATGTGCAAGAGAAACACTTGCATTTAGTGATTGGGACCAAATGCAGATTGGCTTTCTTTACTAATTAGGTGACCTATAACAGCAATTGGATTACATAGATTTTTTATGATATGTCTATGAGCTGAATCTGGTTAGTGTTAAAAGACTTTATAAGTAATGAAATAAAGCTAAATTTGCTTCTTTTGTCTTTTATTTTACAATTAAATCCCACTTCATGTTGGTACATTGCATGGATTCTAATTGTAAATAAATTAAGTTTTATGGATGTCATGATAGAAAATATTAAATATTTCAAGCTTTAAAAATACTTTTGTGTGGCTGGGTTTTTGGTCTTTTTTGAGTGGATAGCTTCCATGTTAAGAAATTGGTGAAAATAACATTACAGATATTATACTGCACCTGATTTAATGTGATTTGTTAAGTTCTAATGTATTATATGTATTATATTTTTAAAGAGTTAATTACCAACACATTCTATTTTTTTCTTTTCAGACAATTTGCCAAAGACGCATATCATCATAAGAGTAATCCATTTCACTCCTGGTTTGTGGGACTGCTTGCGTTGTGCCTACTTGTATTTGTCATGTTTTTTGCCTTTTCAGACAATACTCTAGCCTGGTCAGAAAAACTTTCCCTTTATAGTCAGAACTATGTTCTTTTCAACCAGAGACCTCAGTTTAAAGCCCCTCCTTATCAAGTCCACCCAAAACACAAACTCATAACAAATGCATTTCAGAAAATAACAAAGTTTCCAGCTGTGCAGCCTGGGGGTCTTCAGTACCATCTAGCCTATCCACGCAACTACCAGTTTATTATAGATAACACAGAGATTTGCAAAGACAGTAATCCTTTCTTGGTTCTGATGGTGCCGGTTAAGCCAAAAGACATTGCAGCTCGGAATGCAATACGCCAGACATGGGGTAAAGACAAAGTGGTTCAGAGCAAGGTGGTACTCACTCTCTTCATGCTGGGTCTTGAAGAAGGAGCTGATCTAGAGAATCTCGAAAATGAAAATCAGCAGCACCAGGACCTGATCCAGAGCAACTTCATTGACACATATCTCAACCTTACCATCAAAACCATGGTAATCATGGACTGGTTGGCCACACACTGCCCTACAGCAGCCTACGCCATGAAGGTGGACTCCGACATGTTCTTAAATATTGATAACCTCATAATCATGCTGCAGAAGCCAGGGATCCCAAAAGTCAATTATCTGACAGGAATGCTGATGTGGGACAGGCCTGTTGTCCGATCAAAGGAATCTAAGTGGTACGTTCCTGAAGAGCTGTACCCCGATCCCAAGTATCCCACTTATACCCTGGGCATGGGTTATGTCTTCTCCAATGATCTTCCTGCTAAATTTGTTGAGGTCTCAAAATCAATTAAGCCCTTTAATATAGAGGATGCTTATATTGGAATGTGCACAAAAAAGCTTGGACTTTCACCAACTCCTCCGCCAAACCCTTCCCAGTTTAAGGCTTACAATTCAAGATATGATCGCTGTGAATTCTCTCAGATCATAACATACATTCTTGGCTCTTCAGAGCAATTGAAAAACTATTGGTCGGACTTTAAGAAGCCAGGACCTCATTGTTAGAGCTATTAGCACTACAGATGCAACATCAAATCTCACAGGGTTTAACTTATTGATAGATGTTTATTGTATTAGATCAAGATTTAGATTTTTTTTTTTGGGTAAACTGCAGGAAATTAATAATCCTTTAGGTGTTTGTGTATAAATTTTACAGACTCATAAGCGAGGTTGTCCATTACAGTTCATCATACAAAATTTGAACTTTCACTGGACTACAGTATTTTCGTATCGGTATAAATGCTTTTTTTGCTTGTTTGGGTTTAAAAAGCTGTGGATTGCATGCCATTTAAACTGGGGGGCTGAACTGCTTTACCTGTCAATGGATGAGAAAACAGCTGAATGGTGTGTCAACATAAAAAATGGAACAGTATGGCTAAACATTAACTTGAAGTTAAATCAAGGTAGTACAATTAGGCTTGATGGTAAATAAACTGTGTTCATTGTATGGATTTTAAACATTCAGCTTGAATTTTAGATCAAAATGTGAAAGTGATTTTTATATTTGATTTTGTTTTCCTTTCATCTGGATTTCTCCTAAGCCATTCAAAAACGTGTACATCTGCTGCAGGACAAACCTTTACCTCTGTCTCAAGTCTTTTGCTTGCTGTATTGCCCAGAAATCAGGTGTATCTTTACCTATTTTTTTTATATATAATCATTTATTCATTTATTGTAACCCCTGGGCCATCTTTAAATTACACTAATGATTTGTAGATTTCAATAATAATGGTCATATGAAACTGTGTGTAATTGGACCTTAATTTGACTGGTTGTTGGTTGGATGAATGTAATTAACTAAATGGATGTTTTCAAATAATTGATATTTCTGGGTTTGATATTACTGGATATGTTTGGGTAACGTTTACTTAGTAAGATCAGATTTGTTGTAATTTAGTAAATTAACGTGAAATAAGCATTTTTGTCTTCTAATATGACTGATCCAAAAACAAATAAAAGAACATAAGTAAAAACATTAGGTACTCTGGTTTTCACTGAAACCTGGCAGCGGACAATATATCTTACACTTAATTTCACAAAAAGATTCTTGAATCTCAGTTGCATTCTGTTATGTTGTTTCAACATCTATAGTTACTAATAAAACAAACCTTACTTTATTAAATCATCCATATTAATATATTTTTGTCAGCTTTGCAGTTGTGAAGACAAAATAGGGCTAATTGAAAAAAATCAAAACCTACTTTTTTTCCCTATATATGTCACTAACAATAAGATTCATTAAAGAATAAAACATACATATATGTTGTTCATATATGTGTTTGATATGGCTGTAAGCTGTTAACTGGAGTCAAATTCATTGTTTGTGTCAACTTTGGTTGTGGTTTGAGGACCCAAATTCAGAGGCTGAGAGGCAGTGGTGAGTTCTTGCAGTTTTAATGAATGAATCACAGGTAACAGAGGCAGGAATCCAAAATCCAATTTAAAATGTAAAACTTAACCAGAACAATGGAGACATCAGGGGGAACAAGCACGAGGAGTCAGGGATAGACAAGGAACCAGCACTGAGGAATTGCGCAAGGAGAGTATTTAAAGGAATAGTACACCCAAAACATGATTAGCCTTCATCTTCTACTCACCCCCATGCTGAACAACACTCTGGAGTACTTTTTTGATATCTCAAATGCATCTGGAGATCTGGGAGGCTTCTTGCTGTCTGCTGACATTCAAATAATGGAGGTCTATGGTGACCGAGACAGAAAGGTCCATAAAAGTCCACAAAAAACGTGTCAATATTCCTCCATACTGCTCGTCCAATGTATTCCAAGTGTCCTGAGTGGGTAGCGTCCATAATTTACTCGAAACGAAGTCATTTAGAATGTTTTTAGAGCATAAACAGTAGTGTATAGTATTTCCTGAAAGCGCGCAGATGCGCGCTCACGACGCTACGGAAGCCGGCAGACCAAACCAACGCATTCAGCTCGGCAAAGAACTCATGCTCTTCCTCAACACTGAAGTCCTCAGACATTTTTCTTTCGTTGTTTCTTTCTTTGCACAGGTAAACAGCGCATTTCTTCTTCTACGCTTGCATTATTGGCAGAGCAGACGCTGAATGCGCACTTTCATCTGGTTTGGTCTGCCGGCTTACGTAGGCTCGTGAGGAAATACTATACACTACTGTTTATGCTCTAAAAACATTCTAAATGACTTCGTTTCGAGTAAATTCTGGATGCTACCCACTCAGGACACTTGGAATACATTGGACGAGCAGTATGGAGGAATATTGACACGTTTTTTGTGGACTTTTATGGACCTTTCTGTCTCGGTCACCATAGACCTCCATTATTTGAATGTCAGCAGACAGCAAGAAGCCTCCCAGATCTCCAGATGCATTTGAGATATCAAAAAAGTACTCCAGAGTGTTGTTCAGCATGGGGGTGAGTAGAAAATGAAGGCTAATCATGTTTTGGGTGTACTATTCCTTTAAGGTTGACTGAACAAAGGGAGGACTGATGAGCTGATTGGGAGCAGGTGAGACCAGAGTGTTAGAAAAAATGTATGTTATCATTTTATTTCAGGTTACAGGCATTTGGCCAAGGAATGTAAAGTATTGTTCTAAATGAGGAGAGCAAATATTTCTCTCAGGGCCTTATATTATTCAGCTATGCAGCCATAGGTTACTGATAAGTTCTGACCCCTCCTGATAACATCAGACCCCTCCTGGTAACTTTTGACCACACCTGTAATTCCTTTGAAGTCTAAAAATAAAAGCAGCAGAACAGAGAGGTTTGGGCAGAGTTGAGTATAGACTTTCAAGGGGTCTAATCCTTGGTCTGTCCTCTCTCTCTCTTTTCTGCAAGAAAGAAAAGAATAATCACTTTGTTTGGTTTTCATTTCTAGGACAATAAGTGGTTATGATTATGAACCCTATCACAGAGGCTTCTAGGAAAAGAGCTAAGAAAAGGAAACCAAAACATGAGGTTAAAAAAAGAAAAGCCTAAAAAGTCAAATACATCCAAAAACTCAACAAAATAGGAATCAAACCAATAAAACTAGAGAACAAAGAAAAACAAGAATCAACATAAAACTGAAAACTTAACAGAACCAAGACCATAACAGCTTTTGGATATAGCCATTACCAAATCTGTATCTAAGAATTAAAGCTGAGCTGCAGTACATCAATCAAAACAATCATGCAGAGTATCATTAGAGGTGCTGAAAGCGTCATGGCTGGCCCCTACCCTCTGATAAATAACTTCTCCAAAGCAGCTGCAGAAAGAGGAAACAGATGATCATGAAGGGTGAACACATCCTCTACAGAAATCTTTTAAACTTTTGCTTTGAAGCAAGCTATATTATAGCATAAAAGCCGGACCCAGACTGCTCCAAAGCGTTGTTACATAAGTGGTTAGAATGTTGAATGTCTTGATCCAGTCAGATACTCCTCTTTACCTTTGCTTGGTTTAAGACTTCTATTTTTTGTATTTGAATTTTTCTATAAATTTAACTATAAAACAGTAAAATTTGTATACACTGTTATACATACAGCCAAATGAATATAAAGTCTGATTTGATTTAGGGAATAAAGTTGATATGATTTTCATCTCTAAAAACAGAATCAAAGGTTAACTTAAGCACATCTATATTCTTTTGGAAATAACAGAAAAAATAGTTCATTTGTCCTTCGTCTTTTGTAGAGAGCATCAGTACTATCGATGATTTTGCATGTAAATATCAATTTAAAACTTCACTTAGGCCACAGCCGTCAAAAAGCAGCCCCTTTCAGTAACTGTTTATATACTGTATATAAATGTCTAAATATAAAAATAAATCAAATGTATAAGTAAGATGAGCCAAACTTTGTATCAAGAAGGGAAGTTTGTTTTGCAGCCATCAGGAACAAATGAAGAGGAAGTAGACATGAAGAAAAATCATTCCTGTTACAGCAAGAGTGCAAAAAGAGACTACCACAGTTTCTATAAACGCTTATGTCAATTTATTACTGAAGACAAATAAACACCTTTTTTGTGTTGCACTTGATGACCATGTGTCTGGGAGGTACATGACACCAGCCAGGAGTTACCGAAAAGGGAATAGTCTTTATTCCTTTTAACTCCTGTCCTGTATAGCTGGGAGAACTCTATATGGTTTTTGAGTGTTTTTTTTTGTTTTTTTGAGCTCTTTTTGGCATCAAGACAATTATTCTTATTGCCACATTGCCAGACAGGACACTGTAAAAAAAATGAATGAGTGTGGTTAATGTTAAAACTGACCAAAGAAAACATGAATAACACATTTTCAAAAAAGGAGTGTCAATATTAAAATGTCTCACTTTCTGAAAGAAAAAAAAATCATATGCTGCTGAGCCTCTGATATGACCTTAACAGTCAAGGGTTTATGGATAATTGCACTGAGGTATTTTTAGTGTTGTTAAACTTCAACAGCCTGTTTATTTAAAATCCACAGAGGGCATGTCTGAAAATTAAACACAATCATCACAGAGCTTTTATTTCCTGAGTCCTGGTCATCAAGCAGAGACTCAATATCTGTCTTTGTATTGGCTCTGGCAGTCATCATTGGTACTGTATATAAAATAAATAAAAATGGTAAAGGGCACAACCCTGAGTGGAACCAGTGGAACATAAAGGTGCATACTGTAAAAAGCCATTAACCCTTTCCCTCTGAGGTCTGTTTGTTTACAAAAATAAAACCATTAGCATTGTAGATCCATTAGATACATTTGGAAACTATAAGATGATCAAATAAAAAAAGAGGGTTTTACATGGGTTCAAAGTTTATGAAAAATAAACAAAAACATAAAGTTCTTCTTTTAAAGCAACCCATAACAAGAAAGAATAGGGTGTTAGAAGAATAATAAACATCACCTTCACCTGTGTAAAGTCATAAAAACTAAATTTTTAAACAGCCTGTAGAATCAGAGTTATGCTATGGGGACCTCAAAGTCACCCATTTTTTTTTTAACCTTTGTACGGTAATATTTGCCCAGCAGGGGTGGCCCAAAGATCACTTGCATGAAGAAGTGTTAGCTTTGGCGTTTAGCTACAGCATCATCCATCCATATATCCATCCATTTTCTGTCATGCATCATCCATGCTGGGATAGCAAGGGTTCCTGGAGCCAGCTGTCTATGGCTGAGAGGCGGGGTCCACCCTGGACAGGTCATCAGTCTATTGCAGGGCAACACAGAGACAAATAGGACAAACAACCATTCACGCACACACTCATACCTACGGAGAATTTAGAGAAGCCAATTAACCTCACAGTCATGTTTTTGGACTGGGAGGAAGCCAGAGTACCCGGAGAGAAACCACTCATGCACAGGGAAAACATGCAAACTCCATGCAAAAATGGGAATCGAACCCAGAACCTTTTTGCTGCAATGCAGCAGTTCTACCCACTGCACCACTGAGCTGCCTTATCTAAATAAAGATAAAATATAACCTCACTAATAAGCTTGGTCAAATTCTGCTTTTTTTCCCACATTATATGTCATTGTACACGCTTGTACAGCATAAAAAAAAACATTGGGGCTCTCAGTTATGTTATTTAGTTCAGTTTCTACTGCCGGAAGAAGAAAAAAAGTATAGACAGATTGCAGAGTTTGTTGAGCATTATCTGGTATGTCATGCATGGGCAGATGTTGCTAGACTGCTTTGATGTCTGGTTTCCTGTAAGGTTTCCTGTCTCAGTACAGACGTTGCGCTGATTTATATAGTCACATACATCCGTATAAATTTAGACAGTTGAAGAACCACAGTGTTGGTATTATTGCATCGCAGTGCAGCGTTCTATACTGTTGATCACTCAATTTTATTAGAGGGTCTGGAAAACTTGGTTGGCCTTTTTGGTACCGCACTGGAATGGTTTAAATCCTATCTGAAGGATAGGAACTTTTAAGTGTCAGTAGGAAACTTTAAATCAGAGACCAGAAAAATCACAAGTAGAGTTCCTCAAGGCTCCACTCTCTCATATTTAAACATCTACATCTATACAT